GAGGCGTTACTGTTGGAATCAACATCCCACCGCCACTATCTTGAAGCCCCCAATCGGTGGCACAAGAGAAGGGATAAGAGACAGGCTGGGGGTAGAGTGGGGGCAGAGAGGGGGCCACACGCTTGAACTCCACAGGTGGCTGAGGACCTGGAGCTGAGAGGACCACGGGTCCCCAAAGGGAGAGGGATACATGGGCAACAGGTATCTGGGCTCCCGAGAACAAGGAGTGAGGACGGCAAGGAGGCAAATCCCCCATTCATCTGACCAGGGTGAGCATTGTTATTGTTATTATTATGAAGCATCTCAAGGCTCACACTCGTCCTAACCTGGCCGGGCCCCACTAATGGCCCCATAAATCCCAGCCATAAAGAGTAATGGGGGGAGACAAATGAGATAATTAGGAATAAATCTCACCGAGGTCTCCCTTCAGCAGCGTCCCTGGAACTGGGCAATCTTCCGAGCCATTAGCTGGGCCCCTAATTAATGCCGGGGCACTGTGGAGGCTCCAGGCACAGGAGGGACGGGGCTGAGGGGCACCACTGCCCCCACTGCCTGCGGCAGTGACCTTGGGAGGAGCCGGGGGACACGGGCCCACAGCCTGCCTGCTTCGCTTTTTTGTCGCCTCCTTTTCTTCGTCTCACTTCATCTCCCATCTGCCTTCTGTCTCTGTTTCTCTCTTATCAGACCATCCCTGCCTGCGGCTGAGCCACGGAAGGCCTGAGTTAGCAGGAATTGCGGGGCCACCTGTGACAACCCTCCACCCTCTCTCCTCCCTGCCCCCAGTCAACATCAACTCCAGGGCAGGGACCCCAGCACACCCCCCAAGGACAGTCCTTGGAACAGGGGCCCCACGGCTGCTGCAGCCCTTTCCTCTTGGGGCAGCTCTTACCATTAGAGCCTCTCTCGTGCCTGGAGCTGGGCGCTCTCTCCTTGTGGGTCTGCTTCTTGGTCTTACCTCTGGCCGCTGGGGCCTGAGGATAAGCCTCACTCCCCGCCCAGGCTTCAGATAGTTGAAGGCCATCGTCCTGGACTTCTCTTCTCCAGCCAGAAGCCCTGAGCTGCATTTGCTGACTCGAGGTTTCCAGCCAGGCCTCCCCCACAAGGCACCTCTTCTGGACCCAATCATGGTGGTCTGACCCCATAGTTGGGGTTGTCTTCTGATGTTTTAATCTGCCAGCCTTTCTCTCTTTTTGGTTACAGCACCTCTACTTCATTGGGGAGCTTCCCCTCTCCAATTCCACTTGATTCTGGAGGGACAGCCAAGTAACGTGCCCTCCCTGGCCACAGAGGCCTGGCCCCTCATAGCCCTCCAACTCCTGACACAGTCACTGACCCAAGGATGAGTCTTAGTGCCTTCCCGGGCCCCCTGAGCTGGCAACACTGAGAGATGCCAGGTAGGCACAGCGTGTGAACACTCTCCCTTCCCAGCCCCTACCTCCCCAGTGCCCCCCGTCCTGTCTGCAGTAGGAGGGAGTGAGGCTGTAACCCGGAGAGAGGCACACCCAGAGGTGGCAGGAATTGTGGGGTATGGAGGCTGCTACAGGGTCGGGGAAAGAAGTGAAACCAGGTGAGGGGCAAGGAAGGCTGGAGGGGGCTTTCCTCTGGAGGAGGTGGAGGGTGAGGGGATAGCTGCGGCCATAGGAGGGCTGGGGCCGTGGAACCATCCCATGCCTGTCGCCATATCATCGTAGGAAAGTTGGAATGTGGAAAGGAGCATAAACATGGAGGTGACAAGGGGCTGGCTCAGAGGGGACAGCACCTCTGTCCCCTCTGCTGCCCCCACGCGTGGCCTGAGGCTCCTGTCTCTGCTTCTTTCCCACCCTTCCTTGCATGGGGCCAGTCCTGAGAGCTACCACTCTGCTTTCCCACTGCTCAGCGACCAGAAGTGTCTGCAGCAACAGTCCTGAGAGCCTCGGGGACCAGCCCTCAGTCCCCCACCACTGCCTCATCTCCCGGAGGAGCTGGCGAAGGCCCCAGGGCATGACTGGATGCAGGTGATTCAGCCTTGGGGCTGCTTAAAAGTGTGCCGTCCAGGCAGCCCTGGCCATGGGGGTGGCAGGGCCTGAAGTTCAGTTTGCCAGCTCTGTGCTTTGCGTAGGAGCACAGGGAATGCCAATTAAATGGGCCAAAGAACGGGGAGAAGCTAAGGGAGGCCATGTAGGCAGGAGGGTGGGTTGAACACCCCTCCCCTCACAAGCCAGCCCCTGGCTCAGCTACCTGCTTGCTCACAGGGCAAAATCTCTTGGGTTTGGCACACAAGATCACCCAGTGGTCATGGCAGTCCTGGCCAGGGACAACTTAACTTGGCCCCACCCCCTGATCCTCCCACAATTGTAGTAATTAATGCCCCTTTGGGTTAGACAACCCGCAGCCTGAGGGTGGCCCTGCGAGAAGTCTTCTGGGCAAAAGGGGGCTGGTCTGCTGCTCCAGAGGTGAAAGAAAACTGGAGACACAGGCTATTTCCCTGGACATTGTGGCAACCCTTGGATTTCCAGCGGCTCAGCGCTGATCCATTGTACATGCAAGGAAGCTGAGGCCCAGAGACTGAAAGGGTCTCTTCCCTGGGGCCCACGGCAGAGCCACGCTAGAACCAACACCTGGCCCAGACCAGCTGGTTGGAAAGCGGAGACTGGGAGCCAACAGAGAAGGGCCACGGAGTGGAGGGGAAGGGCCCAGAACTAGGATTTGCCCTTAAGGATATCTGGGGATGGGGGGGTTGGCCTCTAAGACAAATGCCATCTGCTTCCCAGCGGGGATGAGGGCCACCTGGGCAAGGACAGGGAGGTGGGGAAGGCAGAGCAGGCATGGGACGAGGGGGAGGGGACACAGGGCTCTGCAGCACAGCCCCGGGCTGAGCAGGGCTGGCAGGATTGCAGGCTCTGAAATGTGGTGTGTGAGGGCATGTATGTGTATGTGTGGTGTGTGTGAGTGTGTGGTATGTGTGACTTTGTGGAATGCATGTGTGTGACTGTAAGAAGAGTCTGTGTGAGTGTGTGTGTGTGTGAGCGCGCTGGGGGGAGGCTGGCTAAATCCTTTCCCATCCCGTCCCCACCCAGCTCAGCCTCTCGGGTTTCAGCCACTGTCCTAAAGAAAACAGCCCTGAGCCTGCAGCAGGAAATCACTATTTGGATTGCAGAGGCGCCTCTTCCTGCTGCGGCCCCCACGGCCCCCACGGCCCCCACGGAGGGGAGAGGGCCCGGCAGGGGGCCTTCCTGCCCACCTGGACCAGACCTCGAGGTGGTCAGGAGTCCCCCACCCCTGCCCGGCCTTCCTAACATCCCTCAGACCCCAGCCTTGGGGAGGACCTGAGGTTGAGCCGGATTGAACCGAGCCCTCCCACCATTGTCTGTCCTCCTCAGGACAAAGAGCCACAGCAGTGAGAGAAGGGGACGCTCCCCACGGCCATGTGAGGGGACTGGCACACCCTCATGGAGGGCAATTGGGCAGTCCTGTCAAAGTCACAAACCACGCACCTTGAGGCCCGGCAATCCCACTTTCAGGAATATTCTACAGCTATAGTTTGTTCACGCCAAAGAACGTGTTCACACAACCTTGTTTATAACGGAAATAAATGGAAGGGACGAAGAAAGAGCTGGGTAGCTGGACTGTGGCTCATCCCTCAGTGGAACTCCAGGCTGCTCCTCAGTGTGTGGTGAGGAGGATCCCAAGACAGATGGCTAAGTGATGAAAACGGTGCAAGACAACAGGTATAGGATTCTCATATTTTTGTAAAAAAAACCCCAATAAGTGTAAATGCTTGTATATGCACAGACTAGACTTTTGAGCTTTTTATACTTTGGGCAATGCAAATTAAATGCAATAACTAAGCAAAAAAAATGAGATAAATAAATGAACACTGGGGGCTGAGGAGATGGGGCTTCTCTCTGGCTTTGATCTTGACTGTGTGACCCTGGGCAGCTCACTTCCTCTCTGTGTCCTGAGCTTCCCAGAGGTCAGAAAACCTTAATGTTGGCCATGTGAGGCCTGTGTACGTGGAGGGGAGGTGCGGCGGTGGGGGGAGTGCTCCCACCCCATCTTGTGTCCTCCTCCTGCTGTAACTGCTGCCTGCTCCCAGGGCATGGGCAGCTCCCTCTATGACATTCCTTAAGAGAGTTCAGATTTCATCTGGCCCTTTTCCGGAGCTCCCTCCTTCCTTCCAGAATCCCTCCAGACCACTCCAGCGTTGGTTCCTGGGAGCAGTGCCCACCAATTTCCCACGAGGTCTCCACTTTTCAAGGCCTTCTTCAGCCACGTCTCCTCAGGACAACCCGAGTCTAACCACAAGACGTCCTCTCCCTCACCCTGGACCCTCCTGGCTTCCTCCAGGTCCAGGACTGGGTGGGGAGGGGTTCAGTCCTGCCAGCCCTCCCCAGTGCCAGAGTCTACTCCCCGCTGGGAGCCCTGCAGTGCTCAGGTCTGCCCCTCCCCCGCACACCAAGGGCCTAGACACTGGGCCTCTGGGGTTCTCACCAGTTCTGGCAGCTTTCTTCTGTCTCAGGGACGACTGAGGCTGGGCCGTGTGACCCCCACTTAGGCCACATTTGCCTCCCCGTGCAGCCCAGAAGCAAGCCCAGGTGGCGCCAGGCCCAGGGTTGCCCCCTCCCTGCCACTGTTCTGCAGCCGGCATAGGCGTCACCCTCTGCCTTGGAGCCATGGTGGGGAGGGCCTGGAGAAGCCCAAGTCAGCAGGAGATTAATTAATCAGAACCCGAACACATCTGTTGTTAATTAATTCTATGCCAAGGTTAACTCTTCTCTCTCTGGCTTTCCCTTCCCTTTGGCAGGAAGAAGGAAATAATGGTGGGGAGTCAGGACCCCTCTTCCCTAGGGAAGGGACCCCAGAGGGCTGGGAAGCCTCATCCATTGGGGTGCCTTGTAAGGAGTTTGTGGGAAGTGTTTGCTTCTGGGAGTCATGGTCCATGGACATTACTCATGAGTTCTGAGGAAATCTGAGATGGACAAATATCTTTATTTACAGCAACAAATAGATCAGACCCTCCCTCCATTCCCTCCCTCTCCCCTTCCAGTCTTTTCCATACCGTTCCCCCTCCTGCCCTGCCCTAGGCCCAAGCCCAGCACCCTCTAGGGTCACTGTATAGGTCAGGCCCCCACAAGAGGCCAGGAAAGGAGACAGGGAGGGGCTTGGCTGAGGGCGGGGTGGGGGTCTCTTTTCACATTTTGCTGTCCTCTAAGCCTGGGGATCAGGGGCGGTGGGAGCCAGGAGCAGCGGGAGGTAGAGAAGCGCACAGCTCCGGCATCCCTGCCTCTCCACGTTCCTGCACGCCCCCTCCAACTTTCACAGTGTTCTGCAGCCCTGGCAGCTGGCCCAGGAGGGGCCCCTACCCCAGCCCTCGCCGCCAGGTCCTCGGTGCCATGTGGCCCTGGTAACCAGGGGGGAGGACCGGCTCTCTGCAGTGGGCCCAGCTCCCGTGACTGAGGTGCCCCCGAGCGCCCCCTTCTCACGGGCTGGGGTTCTGAGAGGGCCCTGGGAGGGTGGGAGAGGACGAGGGGAAGGGGTGATCAAGCTTTGTGCGACAGCCTGGGGCCTCCCTGCCGGTCAGGAGGAGAAGCAGAGCCCACAGCACTCCATGCAGATCTCCAGGCAGTCGGCCGACTCGCAGCAGGCGTCCAGGATGCCGCAGTCCAGGTCGCAGGGCAGGTCGCAGTCGGCACACTCGCCAGAGCCGCAGCAGCAGCAGCAGAGGCACGAGTCCTCGGAGCTGCAGGAGCCGCACGTGGCGCAGTCCAGGACGATGTTGCACAGAGTCAGGAACTCGCAGAAGAGGCAGGACAGGATGCAGTGGACGCAGCAGTCTGCAGGTGGAGAGAGCCAGGTGAGACAGCTGGGGGCAGGGGACCCAGCCCAGCAGGTACGGGGGGTTCACTGAGCCCTCAGTGCTCGGCAGGAATTAGGCTCAGGCAACCCTCCGGCAGCTCCACGAGGCGGGGACTGTGAGGATCCCCACCTTACAGGTGATGACCCCAAAGGCACAGAGTTGCACACGCCTACCCCGTAAGCTGCAGAGCGGAGCTTTGAGCCCAGGCAGTCCTGATCCTGACTCCCTGCTCTTAACTGCTCTCCGTCTTTTATTTACGAAACACACGGAGTGACAGCGTGTTCCAGGCCCTGCTCTAGTGCTGGGCGTGAATTAAACTCCTTTAAACCGGCAACAACTCTATGACGTGGCGTTACTGTCAGCCCCACTCTACAGATGAAGAAACTGAGGACAGAGGAGTCACTTCAGAATATACCCAGAATCCTACTACTCTGCTCATCTCTCGCTGGGGCAACAGCAACAGCCTTCCTGTATCCACTCCCCACATGGCGGCCACAGGGATTCTTGAAAAGCTTCAGTGGATTCCATCCCTCCTGTGCTCAGAACCCTCCAATGGCCTCTACCTCCCTGGGAGTAAAAGCCGAAGTGCTCCGAGTGGCCCCCATGTGATCTGGTCCCCTCTCCCACTCTGTCCCCCTGGTTCACTCTGCTGCAGCCACACTGGCCTCCTGGCCACCTAGGCACTGCTTCCCACCCAGAAGGCTCCTGTCCCAGATACACGCTGGGCTCCCTCCCTCCCCTCCTTCTTTGTCCAAATGTCCCCTCTCGTGAGGCCTTCCTTCCACAAGAACCCTCTTTAATACTGCACCCTGCCCGCCCACCCCAGCACCCCACCCCCTTGCCCTGGTCTGCTTTCCCCGGAGGACTGATCACTTTCCACCAACAACAGAGTTTTCTCCTCCTCCTAAGAGGTAAGCTCTCCAAGGCGGGCATCTCTGTCTGTTTTGGTCACTGATATAGTACAAGTCCCCAGGACAGTGCCTGGCACTTGTGGGTGCTGAGTAAATAAATAGTAAGTGAGTTAACCCATGAGCCTGCCTTTGGGCACCCAGCTGGTAAGCGGTGCAGCTGGGGACCCAGGCAGGCTGGCTCTGGAGCCCATGCTCTGAACCGCTCAGGGTGCTTCCAGGATGCTGAGCTGGCACCCCTCCCAGGGGCCAGGCATGGGGCAGAGTGTCCAGTTCCTCTGTCCAGGTGGGCCCCTGGCACACGGCCTGGTCCTGTGGGAGACTCACACTGCCAGGGAGGGTCTGACTCCCCACCCCATTCCTGTGTGGAGGGACTGGGGTCTTGTAGGGCTGGAACCCCTGCAATCCATCTGCAAACTGGATAAAGGAGTTCTCTTCAAATGCAAATTTGATGAGGTCACTACCATGTTTAAAACCCTTCATTGGCTCCCTATGGCCCTCCAGATAAAGTCTAGGTCCATGGCAAGGTTTACAAGGCGGTCCCTGTCCCCAGAGCCCCTGCCTGCCTGGAGTCTCACTTCCCACCATTCTTCACCTTGAACTTCATAATCTAGCCACACCAGCCATTTTCACCCCTGTGCTAATGCTCCCCTGGCTAAATCCTCCTACTTGTCCTTTAAGGCTTGCTCAGACACCTCCAGAGCCTTCCCACCTCCCCTCCCCAGCTTTCTGCACTGGTATGGCTGTCCCCCAGTGTTCACATAATCCCCTGCCTGTGGCTTTATCACTGTATTTAAAATCACACCATATCTTGATGAGCTGTTTGTGCCTCTCTCATGAGAGCTTCACGAGGCCATGGACTGGGTATCCAGCACACAGCTTAGGGCGTGGCTCAGAGCAGATGCCCCGGACACTTTCAGTGAATGAACACCCCCTTCATAAATAAGACTGTTGGGCAGAATCTGCTCCGTGGGTGGGAAGGTTTATGAACACGATATGTGCAAATGTGTACACTGAATCCTGTTTGCAGAGCACCAGGCCAGAGTCCCCTAACATGGACAGGAATCACTTAAAAATTCTGGGGCACCGCTGAGCTACAGGCAGCTGTCACTCATGCTGAACTGACGCATAGTGGGGCTCCCAGGGTGGCCCTGCCGAGGACCTTTGTGTTGGAGGAACGATGGCTGGTGTATCTGGGTCCTCCGCCCTCCCACTGCACCTTGCAGCCCCCGCCCCACCTCCAATTAAACATCTGATGGTGCATCATTTTATTCTGCTAAGTGTTCTGCTCTCACTAAACAGATGGTCCACTCCTTGAGGAAAATTTCTGTGTCCAGAAATGGGGTGGTTTAAGCTGGCTTAGCCCAGATGGCTCCATTCCTTGTTACAGCGACTCGGGGAGAGCAGGGATGGGAAGGGGTTGGCCTTGAGAACGTAGACATGCCTCACCGTACCCAACAGGTGTACTTTGCAAGGTTCTCTGATTTGAGAGTCTTGCACCAGAGGGCTTGTCAAAACCCAGACTCCCGGGCCCCACCCAGAGGTTCAGATCTGGTGCGCCTGGTGTGAGGCCGCGACTCTGTACTTCTCACCAGCAACCTGGCAGAGATGTGGTCCCTGCCTCGTGCTTTGAGGCCCCGGCTCTGGAGGCCTCTCCCAGGGAGCGGGGCGGGGGTGCTCACCTTCCTGTGCCTGGAGAGGGATCTGGGAGGCCGCCGATTTGCTGCTGGTCTTACTCTTCTTGCTGCCCTGGCTGGCGAGAGACGGGTGTGTCTGCAACTTCCGGTGGGCCTTGGGGCCGCCCAGGGCACCGTTCCCCGCCCGCCTGGCGCTGCCCAGCTCCGAGGGATGGCCAGAGCCATTCGCCACTAGTGGGGTGCAGCTCAAGGGGCTCCCCTGAGGCTGGCCTAGAGAGATGATGAGAAAGGGTGATGGGGGAAAGCGCGGGGGCCGCACAGCTGCCAGAGCGCTGTGCTAACCCTGCCTGCTTCATTCCCAGAGACACCACAGGTCACGCTGCTGGGCTTGTATTCTGCACGTGGAGAAACTGAGGCCCAGAGAGCACAACTGACTTGCCCAGGGGCACACCATGGAATAGCAGCTCCTGACCCCCAGGCCAGCGCTCATTCCAGAAACGACAGAGGGGCAGGGGAGGGGCTCAGAGCCCTGGATGCCACCTTCTTACCCCACACGAAATCTACTCTCCTGCCTTGGGGTCCTGGGACTTTGGCAAGGGAGGTGCGGTAGCGGGTGGAGGGACAGGGATGGTTCGGCTGGAAGACAGCAGCGAAGCAGTTAAGGTTCGCCTCGGTCCCTGCCAAGGCCCCAGCTGTTTTTGCCCTTCGTGTGCTGGGTGATTTATTGGAAACATCTGTTTGGAGATGAACGCCCCGGCCCTGGAATCCAGGGGCTCCTCACAGGAGCCCCTCTATCTCCTGCTCCTTCCGGCTTAGCTCCCTGCCCTGTCCGGCCTCCGTGGGGCGGCTGGCAGAGGAGTTTGCTGAGGGGTCCTTGGGTCTGCGTGAGGACGGAGAGAAGAAGGGAAGAGGGAGGCCAGCAGGGAGACCCTCAAGGCCAGGAACCCCCAAGGCTCCATCCCAGGCTGAGGGACCAGATTTCAGCCTTATCAGTGGGGTGCAGGGAAGCTGGCCCTGGAGATCCCCCCCAAAACACCCAGTTCCTTTCTTCGCCTCACTGAGGTGTGCTCACCTGGATGGCACGGTTCTGTTCTCAAGAGATGAGGGCAGGTGTGTGTGTGTTGGGAGAGGGGACTGAGAAGGGGTCACCAAGAGCTCTGGGACCCCTCAGCTGCTCGGGGCCCCTGACTCCTGGGCAGGACCCTCTGGCCTGAGGACCTCTGTAAATATGCAAATGTGGGACCCTTCCATCACTTAGGCACTGGGGTCTGGATCCCCAACTCCCCCCAGGCTGGGGCTCTGTGTTTGAGTTGTGGTGGAAGGAGACATCTGGGGGTCCCTGGAGGCTAAGGAGAGGGGAAGGTGGCCTCACTGCTTCCCTTGACTGAGGGGGCTGGGCCTTCCAGCAATGGTCCCATCACTGCACACTTACTGCATGTCAGCCACTGTTCTAAGCACTTGGCAAGCTAATTATTCTCTCACTGAATCCTCTCATGTCTCTATGGGGCAGTATCCTCCTTTTACAGATGAGAAAACTGAGACCCAGAGAAGTACAGTAACTTGTCTAAGGTCACACAGCCAGTAAGTGTCAGAGGTTGGACCAGCCTGGAGGCTAAATGCTGGGGCTCAGAGGCCAGAGGGGCAAGGTGGGGGCAGAGGTTGGGAGACAAGGGACTGGGGAATGAGCTGCTACTGTCACAACAGTCACCACTCTCTTAACTAGCAGTGTACACGTTTTGAACTGTTACTAGGTGCCAGACACAGTGCTAAGAGCTTTATGGGCAGTGACTTTAAACATCATGATAGATCTACTATGATTGGCCCTATTTCACAGATGAGAAGACTGAGGCCCAGGGAGGATAAGACTTGCCAAAGTTTCCACAGCTAGGAAGCAGAGGGGGAGGGGATGTCGATGGGGAGAAAGGAAGCAAGGATAAGGCGGGGAGTCAGGGAGAGGATGGGAGACAGGGCTCTGGAGAGGCCCCGAGGTCTGGCTAGTGCCTGTCTCTGGGTAAACAGGGGTAAGGCCATGGGAAGTGGCCAGGCCTGAATCATCCTTCCCCTACCTCTTGGCCCCACGGGGGGTGACTGGACTCGGTCCTTGGCCAACTTCAGTGCCCCTTGCCCTGCTGCCTAAACATGGGCACAGTGACCAGAGGGCGGGCGTGTGGTGAGCTGAGGGCCCCGGGAGGTTCGGGCAGACAGAGCTCGCCTGTGGCCGTGGCCATGGCGGCTGAGTCACAGAGCAAACACTCAGGCCCATAGACACCGGAGTGTCTGTCCAGCTCCCACCCAGACCCCTCCGTGGCCACGGCGCTGACCTCTTCTCTAAACCCTGCTGGTGGGTGTGTCTGGAGGAGGCGGAGGGCAGGGCGCTGGTGGGATTCAGTAATCCCGACTTCCAGGGAGTCCAGCTTAGCCCCAGATGCCCTGGCTGAGGCAGCTGCCTGCTCGGCCGTGCCAGATGGGCAGGCGGGCACGGGAGACAGTGTTGGGCCGGGGACCTGGGTTCCTCAGCCTGTGTCCAGGGTGAGTGCTCTCTATGCCTCAGTTTCCTCATCTGTGAAATGGTTTTGGCCATGGCTCTCCCACTGCCTCACCACAGGCTGATCTGGAGAGCACGTGAGATCATTCAGTGAAAGAAAGTCAGAAGGTGCAAATACGTCTATAGATTGTGCACATCTTATTAGTAACTACAAAATGATTCTGGCTGCCCCTTCCCTGCTCTTGAGGGGCAGGGTGGGGAATTCGCTCCCTCCCAGGACCTCCTTGGAGGGTGAGCCAAGCCTGGGAACAGAGCTGAATTTTGCTCCTTTCTGCCCAGGGCAACTGACGGCGTCTCTCCTTCCTTCTTGTCCTCGATGCCCTGAAAGATGGGGCTGCCCGGGCTCTCGCTCCCTGCACGGCCCCCAGCTTCTTTCTGAGACGAGGGGCACCTCTCTCCACACAACCTCCCACTCTCTTGTCCTGAGCTATACTGTCTGGATCCTGTCCACACTCATTTTGTACTAATCACTTTGTACATGGAGGTCTTCTTCCTAGACAGAAAGGACAGTGACCGTGTCACACACCTTTCCCCTACCCACACCTCAAGGCCCTGGCCCAATGCTGGGCTCCCACGGGCACCCACTGCATTTTTGCCTGCCCATTTGGATTGGATTCCTCAGTGCAACCCCTACATGTTGCCACCCCCATACCCTAGTCCCCCAGGACTCACGTGTCACAGCTTCTGTGGGGACATCGAGGTCAGTGCTGTCCAGGGCCTGGGGGGCCCCAGGACCGTTGCCTTGGGGCATGGAGGGTGCCGCCTCCTCCAGGGAGCCCTCCTCTAGCGCTGCCTCCGCAGGGTGAGTGGATCCTGTTACTACCTCCAGCCCAGGTAGGAGGGATGCGGTCTGGGCTGGGGAAAAAGCAGACGACTGAGGTCTATTTTCCCAGCCCTGGTCCCCTCCCCACAGCTCAGAACGCCGTGAGCCCTCACTCTCTCTCTGTACCAGTGACCCAGCCCTTACCCTATCTGGCAACAGCTCCGGACTCCAAAATAGAAAGCTCCCAAACCACAACCTGTGAGTGAGCAAGGATGTGAGTGTGTGTGTGTGCACGTGTGTGCAGGCGTGTGTGTGGTGCCACGGAGGGGGCCAGAGACACGTGGTACAGATGGAGAGGGGAGAAGGGGCAGAAACACAGCCTGGGAGAGAACAGACAGCTGGTCAGCGATGGAGAGATAGGGACAGGCATCAAGAGTGACAGGGAGAGAGAAAGAATCAAAGGGATAGTGAAAGGTAGAAGCCAAGAGATAGCGCATCAGAATGCGGGAGACGGAGACGGGGCGCGGGAAGAGACAGCCGCAGAAACCCAGTGATGGAGAGGCAGACAGCCGGGGGCAGGAGGGAGACTCAGCGATGGGGAGGAAGAAAAAGACAGGGTCAGAGGAGAGGCGATGAAGAAGCAAGCGGGAGACAGATAGTGAGAAATTGGGTGAGAGAGAGGATGATAGCAAGAGAAAGAGTCAGAGAAACCTGGGGGTGAGGTGAGGGACTGGGCCTGAGGCGGAGGGGCTACGAGCAGGAAGACAGACAGAGAGATGGCCACTGAGGGCTGGGACCAGGCGGACAGCAGCCACATGTAATTACAGCGACGGGCTCAGCCCCTCTGCGCAGGGTGGGTGGAAACAGAAACGGAGCCACCTTCAAACCCGCAGCTCCTGAGCGGCCACACTAGGGCCCCCAGGCCCAGGGGAGAAGGTTAGGGAGATGGAGGAGGGAGGCAGATGGGGGCCTGAGCTCCCACCCCTCAGGCACCGGGAGTGGGAAGGCCTGAGAGTGAGCAGAGGGCAGGGAAGGTGAAGCTGGGGTCCTGGGGCCAGAGGCGGGCCCGGTCAATTACAGGGTGCAGGGCGCAGCCTGAGTCTGTCATCAGACCCCACGTTGTGGTGTCGGAATGACAGGGGCCTCAAGAGGTGCCCCCACCCCCCATACATGCCATGCTGGGAGCAGGGGAGACAAAGAAATGAGAGACTCAGAGATGCAGAGACCAAAGGGCATGGGGAGAGGAGAGGGACACAGGGAGACAGAGGGAGAGGAAGAGAAAGGCCATACTCAGCCATATACACCACACACAGAGATCGGGAGAGACACACCCAGAGGGGCAGAGGGATAGAGACACAGACTAGGCCTGGAAATAGAAGCGGAATCAATCACAGAGAACAGAGGGGCTTACATATGGTCCTTCTCTGAGTTGTCTCCAAATGAGCGGGGGTAAGAGAGGAGGAGGATAATTAGAGGGATCAATGAAGGTTGAGCTCGCAGGTCTGGGGGATGGGAGCATCCTGAGGGGAAGGGACGATCAAGGGGCTCAGCTGCCTCCCTGGGTCCTGAGCATCCCTCTGCGGCCTCTGATCCACAGAGACCGCTGAGCAGCCATTGTTCCAAAGACCCTGGTCTCCCCTAGCCAGGGGGACAGAGGCCCCGGAGGCCCCAGGTGGGTGGCACAGAGAGCACAGGCAGAGCTGGCGTGCTCACACCTGCACAGGGAAAACCACAGGCCCTGCCTGGAGACAGGAGCTGAGGCAGGGAGGAGGGAGGGGCTGGGGCTCCTGCAACTCCTGAGGGCCCCAGAGTTCTGTACTGGGGACCCCTCATGTTGCCTGCTGCTGCTCCAGGGAGGCAGGGGGGCAGTTCCCTCGAGCCCCATCTACTCTTTGGGCCTGTTGAGAGCCCCCCCTCACCATCTGGGTTAATGAGAGAAGTCAAATGGCTTTGGGAAGATCACAGAGCTGGGAGAGGGGGGAGCAGGCGAGTGGAGATGACATCCGAGGTGTCATCTAGCCCTGAGCTGGTCTACAGCAGCTCAGACATGACTCTTGAGGACATGGTCCAAGCTGGCATAAAGAGGGAGGCTCAGGGCTTGGGTCCTCGGTCCCAGGAAGGGAGGGGCCTGCCCAGCTCTGGCCTTTGGCCCCAAGGCATCTTGCCAGGGCCCTGAACTGGAAGCGTGGACTCTCCCATGTGGTGTAATAAAAAAGGCCTGAGGGAGATGCTGGAAGACCCCAGCCCTGGTTTTTACTAGTTACCAGCTGGGGCAAGTTACCGGGTCTTGGGTTACCTTGTGTGTAAAGGGGGGTCCTAATGCATATCCCTCAGGGTTTCAAAGAGTAAATGAAATGCTTAGCAGTGCCCTGCCTGTGGGGGGCCATTAGCGAACACTTGCATCCACAAACCCACCTACCTGCCCGCCCTCCTTCTCTCTTCCTCCCTCCCTCCCTCCCTGTGCTGTTTGATTCAACACATATCAAGCAGCCGTGATGCACCTCACAATACGTCAAGCACTGGGTAGACCAAAATGAGAAAGACCAAGTCACCGCCTCAGGACTTCTCCATCAGGGGTGGAGTGCGGGGCAGTCACACACACCGAGGGGCAAGAGTTACAGTGGGGGAAGCTATAAGAACTGTGAGAGTGCAGAGGACGGGCACTTATCCCAGGGGGTGTTGTGTGTGTCTAGGGGTCTTCCAGGAGAAGGCAATGCCCACACTAGGTCTTGAATAATCAATCAGCAAAGAAGAAAAGGACATTTCGAGAAGAGCAGCAGGAACCAAGACCACAGGGTGAACGAGGGACACCACAGCCTTTGGTAGGCCTAGAACGATAGCAGGGGCATGGCGGGCCTGTGGTCACTTCCCGGGCTTTCTCCTGGGTCCTGTAGTAGAAGAAACCAGGACTGCAGCTTTCCTGGCCCCCAGGGTTGGAGAGAGAGGAAGGTGAGAAAGAAGGGGTAGGGACATTGGTCCCCATCTCTGCCCTCCTCCCCCAGTGTGGCCACTCTCTGGGCATTCTCTCCTAATAGTCACCTACAGGGCTGGCGTTCTCGAATCTGGTGGGAACAGAAAATTATAGAGAGCACAGACTGAGTCCCGAAGAGGCCCTTCCTGCAGAAAACCTGCCATTCTAGGATGAGCACCAGACCTTGGAAAGAAACTAGGGAGGAAAGAAAATCCAGTCCAGTCATCTTGACCTGGACACTCAGAGGGACAGACCTCCCGGAGCCAGGAGGGGCAGGAGAGGGGACCTGGCAGATGCCCGAGAGAGCAACACCGAGGTCAGAAGAGGAAACTGTGCTGAGTGCCCGGAGACATGGAAACAGGACGAGAAGGAACGAGAAGTGGCAGGAAGACCCGATTTGCGAATGAGATCCTGCCCAGAGGGCCCGGATGCCAAGATGCTGGACCAAGAAACAGCTCTCACCAGGAGCACACGGAGCAGAGAATCCAGACCAGAGGTGAAGTCCCAGTGCTCAATCATCAAGACACGGAAAGAGCCCAGCTTTCCTTCTTGGGACCATGAGACACTGCTGTCCACCCACACAGGGGAGAATATCTCTGAGGAGGACTCCCGGAGGGACATGCAAGAGGGTAGAAATGTGGGGTGGGCCGGAGGGAAGGGGTGGCCAGCAAAGGCCAAGGGCCACAGTGCGGATGTGCAACTCCCGTTCTACATAAAGTCGCCTGCCAAGGAGGCCAGGGGTGGGGCTGGAGGCCCTGGTGGGGGCGCTGTCCTCCCCGGAGGTGCCATCTGCTCACCCAGCTGCATACCTGCTCCAGCTGACCAGAGGGCCACCTTTGTTTAAGGAGCACAGGGGGCCATCAGTGCTGGTGGCGTCTCTGAGCAGAAGCCCCCAGGCCTGCACCTCCCCTTTCACGGGTCCTCATCTACAAGGGGGAAATATAGAAAGGTGACAGCCCTTTGCCTCGACACACTCTCACCCCTAGCACAGGATAAGGTTCTGGTCAATGCCCCAAGTTCTGGAAAGATGCCCAGAAGGGAGTGGAAAAGTCATGTTTAAATCCGTCAGCCCAAGAGGGAAGGCTGAGAGTCTAGCAATCTCAGCAAGGACCCTGGAGGCTCCCTCTGCCTGCCGTCCTCCAAGTGGAGGGGTGATCCTGGACCAAGAAGGAGTAGAAGGGACCTCTTCCAGGTGGGATGGGTTCTCTCCAAACCTAGAAAGTGCCCACAGGGCCCTTGTTCTGGAGCTCCAATGCCTGGTCCCTCAAGTCCGGCCCTTTCCATTGTCTTGAGGGTCAGTGGGTCAGGCTGCCCCCTTGGAGCTCCCACTATCTTCGGGAGAGAGGCCAGGACCTGATCTGCTCAGAGAGTAGTGACCGGAGCCCCACACTCCAGTCTCTCCTTGGCTTGGTGTTCAAGGCCTCAGTCTACATCTCCAACCTAATCAAGGGACAAGGATCCTGCGTTTCAGGCAACTGACCTCTCCACAGCCCCAGGCCACTCTGGGCCTTCTGACCAATCCACCCATGCTTACATTATTCCTCTTGACCAGAAGGTGCTACCCCTCCCCTTTCCCACTCCCCAAATCCAGTGCATCCTTCATGACCCAGCTCGAGTTTCACCTCCTCCTCTAGAAAGCCTTCCTTGACCCCGGAGCCAATAGGCCCTCCTCTGAGTGGCCCACTTACTGAGAACCTAGCACCCAGCGCCTCCTGCTGTTGATTATAACCTAATAGTGAAGTCCTGGCTCCTCAACCAGCCTGCAGCCCTCCCCAGCTCACTCCCTTGCAGGGGTAGCAGTATTCATCTCCACACCCCTAGTGGGCACTGGGCAAACGTCTGTTGGTTCTGGAGTCTGGAATGACGCCGGGTCAGGGGAAGGAGAGAATGGGACAGTAAGGATTAGGGGTGGCACCTGGCCCCAACCCCAAGAAAGTGAGGATGTGGACTCCCTTGATGCACACGTGTGAAACAGTGGTCACAGTCCCAGACCAACAGGCTGAGGACGGGAGAGGGCCTGAGCTGACCAGTCAGGCTGGGTCGAGTTGGTTTTATTTTAGGTCTGAAGGCTCCAATTCCCCAGGAAATTCAATTTAGAACCAAGAGCAGGAATGTGACGCCCCAGTGCTGGGCAGAAATCTGCTGTGGCTTAGGGAGCCAGGCTCCCGGGGCTCTCAGGGGTGGGTGGGGAGGCCACTGGTGGAGCCAAGGGGGTGGGGGCTTGGCCACCTGCCCCAACCAGAGCTGCCCAGAGTCCCTTGCACCCCAACTGCATCTTGGGTGGCTCGGGGAGGGGCTGACTTGATCCCCGGCTATCCTGCCAGCAGGGCCCCTGGGGGCATCGCTATGGCCTTGCTGTTCTGTCAGCGCTCAGCAGGGAGTGTGGGGGATTCTGGTCTCGGATTTAGGCGTCTGTGGGGTTTTGGCTGGGTCTCCTGCGGTTTGGGCTTCCTGGGCAGCAAGCTCATTCTCCCAAGGCGACAGAGCTAGGCCTCCTCTGTTATGAAAGCCACATTGTCTGGCCCAGCCCAGGCTGGGGAGGGGGCTCGCAGAGGTGCTGGGGGGCCTCAAGTTACAGCCAGGGCTTAACCCTTCCAGTGGCCCACCTTGGCCCTTGTCCCCTGCCCTGAGCACATTTAGCCCCCTCCTCTTCCTGCTGGGGCTCAGAATTGGCCCCGGGGGGGGGGGGGATCTTGGAAGGAGGCAGTGGAGAAGAGAGCAGAGAAAATGGATAAGCAGAGGAAGAAAGCAGGAGACAGTGGGAGAAAGAGAGGAGGGGTGAGAGGTGGAGAGGGAGAGAGAAGGTTCACAGACAGAGAAAGAGCCTTCCCCACCCCCTGCCTCAAGCTCTCTCTGCAGCTGAAGGAGCCAGTTCTTGGAGGAACTTATTCCCCCCAAGTCCCTGCTCCAGGGGCCCGGCAGAGAGGAGGGATCTGAGGGTTAGCAGGGATGTGCAGCAGCCACATTAGTCTCATTTATGCACTGGCTCCCGGCCAGACATGTCTCACTTGTCCTCCCTCTGGTTTAGGAGACCCCTTCCCCACCACCTCCACAGCCCTGGGCATCTAGAGTGTCAGCGTCCACACCAGGCAGATGGGAGAGCTGAGACAGGCCCCTCCAAACAGGCAGACAAGCCCGGATGGGCGGATGTGGAGACTGAGGCCAGAGAGGGGACGGAACTTGTCCAAGGCAGCGCAGGGAGTCAGTGTCAGAGGTCCAGGACCAGACCTTCATGATTCAGAGACTCGAAGGGGGAGAAAGCGAGAAGGGGGTGGGTCAGAGGAAAGCAGAAGAATTACACTGACCTAGAGCTGGCTTTGAAGTCCTGAAATCTGGGCCTCCACTCCAGCACTCCACACCCCTGCCCCTGCACAGATCCACGTGTTCCTGACTTCTCCCTGACCCTGGGTTCCACTGTGACCCTCAGTGAGGAGAAGGGACTGAGAGCCACAGGCCCAAGGGCTTCCTCCTCAGACCCCTCAGGGAGTCACAAACCGGGCTGGGTCATGACGCTCCCGCAGGAATTCCAGGGAGGTTACAGACCCAGTGAGTTGGGGAAGGGGCATTTCACTCCGGTTGTGGGCACTTGGTTGGAGTCAGTGTGTGTGTGTGTGTGTGTCTGTGTGTGTGAGTGTGTGTGTGTGTAGGAGCCGCAGGGACTCGCCAGGCTCGGGTGGGGAGGAAGGCGAGTGAGACGAGATGGCAAGGAGAGGAGGGGCCGGGTCCTGTAGCCGCTCTCGGCCCACAAAAGTTTGGGGAATCGCTAGGCTCTGGTTGGGTTGGAGGAAGGGAAGGAGAGAAGGACTCAGACACCCCCTACTCCTGCCTGAGGCCCCCATAAATATTTACACACTGGGCAGAAACGGCTGGGACACAAGTCCCAGACGGACAGACAGACACTGCGGTGTGTGTGTGTGTCTGGTGTTGGGAGTAGGGGGAGTCGGAGCCAACTTGGCGCAGCCGCCGCCTCCGTTCGGGCCCTGCCCCCATCACCCCAGCCCTCAGCTCTCCTTGGACCGGTTCCCCGATACCCAGACTCCTCGCCCCCCCCTCCACCCGAGCTCCCCGAACCGCCTCCCCGCGTCTCAGGGAGGAAGGGGGAGAATTAACACTCCCCCACCTCCCCCGACCCCACGAGCCGCCTACCCCGCTCTCGTCCAGCCTCGCTCTCCATCCCGGTCCTACCTGGGCCCGGAGCTGCGCTGGGGGCTCCATGGGGCGCGTCGCAGTGAGGGGAGGGCTGGCCACTCACCTGGGACATCGGCTCGGGACCTGTGGAAAACAGGGCTCAGCGGGCGGGGCCGACCTTCCCCCTGCGCGTGCGGGGAAAGGGGGACTGGCAGGGGTGATCCAGCCGCAGACGCGCGCCTCCCCCCTTCCCAGCGCGGCCCCCGACTAACTTACTGTGCAAGCTGCGCGCGACTTTCCGCCCGATCACCGCGCGGGGCCTGCCATGCGCGCCCGCCGCGGGCGCCCCAGCCCAGGGGCCGCTCGGCTCTTCGGTGCTCGCCCCGCGCCCCCTCCCCTCTCACTCGCTCCTTTCTCCCATTTCGGCGCCAGCTCGCGCCGCTCGCCCCCTTCCTTCTTCCTTCTCTCCCTCCAGCCCCTCGCTCCTCCCCTGCTCGCCTCTCCCCTCCCCTCTTCCCTGGCCCACCCTCTCCCCGCCCCCTCCTCGCCTTCCCAGTCGTCCCCCCACCACGTCCCTTCCCCCACGCCAGGCTGGGCGCTGCCTGGGCCGGACACGTCTGTCCGCGGGGCGCCGCGGCCGAAGCCCCCACAGGAAGCCGTCTCCGGGCGTTTCCTCTGAGCTTGCAGAGCTGGGCCCCAGTCTCCCCAGATCTCCGCCCCCCCCCCAGGCCCAGCGCCCCGAGGGGCTGCAGACCGGACTGCGCATTCTCCTTCGCCTGTCCTAAACTCTGCAGAAGTTTGAGGAAAATCAGAAAACGAGAGAGAGAAATCACTGTGACCACAACCACCTCGAGCCAATTGTCTGAATAATTGTGGCCCCCAAATCTCGTTGTCCCAAAGATGGGAGTGATCAAGTTCCTCCGGCCGCCTTTGCCCACCCCTTCGGTCTCCGCCGGGGTCTGGGGCTCACCGACCTGGTGCCCATCCCTCCAGAAGTTGTACCTCCGGGAAATCCGGTTAGTGACCATCTAGCCTCCCGTGTCCCGTAGGAGCCTGGCGCATCCCTGACCCCACAGCCCCTACCAGCTGTGCCTGGGAATTTGTGTCCGAAAACCAACTTTGGAGGCAAAGAGAGGTTCTCCGACTTCAGCCCTTCTTTGGCTCCGTCCTGGAATCCGAGGCCTTCCACATTGCGGGCGCGCGGGGCAAGGGGAGAGACGGGGCCCCTCCAGGCGGGGACAGCCTGGCGGCACATCTGGAGTTGTGCGCTGGGTCCCTCCTCAGGGCCGTGGAGATGGGAAGGAGGCGCCGCCCGGCAGTCCGAGGGGGTTCAAGTACCCTCAGCGTGACCCGGGGACGAGGCCCCCAAGAATAGGGGAGGGCATGGAGCCTGCGGCCCGCCCGTGGGGCTGGGCGGGCCGGTGGGATGATCCTCAGGTGGGGCCACCCGCTGGGGTGACAGCGTCTCGGCCACACTTGACCCGGGCCGCCTGGGAGCCGAGTCTGGGCTCGCCACCACGAGGGCCAGTGAGCAATTAGGGAGGCGGCGGCGGCGGCGGCGCCAGGCCAGTTCTCCTAGTCTCGTGTTCCAGCCCGCGCTTGAAGCGAGGGCTGGGACGCGGGGGACCGCGTGAGGGACTTGGGGCTTTTCCTTGGTCTCTTCCGGTCCCCGCAGTCGCTACTTACAGCACTCGAAGGTCCTCGCGGCGCCGTCGCGGCCGGGACCGCCGTGGCCTCCACGGGGCCCGCCGCGCTCTCGCCACCCGCGGCCGCGTCCCCGCGATGAGCCCAGGTGGCTGCGGCTGGAAGAGGGGGCCCAGGGCCGGGAGGAGGGGGTCCCGCTCCCGGGGCAGGGCTGCCTGCTGCGGGGGCCTGGCCTGGCACCCGGGGAGCGAGGCCCGATCAAGTTGCTGTCTGGGAGCCCTGGAGAGCAGGGTGACTCCCCCTTCCTGGCAAGGGCTGAGTCACCGGGACGCGCCCGCGCTGGGGCTTGGCGACTGCTCCATTCTTACCGGCTTACCTGGGCCCGCGAGTTAGGCCTCACCGCCTCCAAGGGTTGGGGGGAGGGCGGGGGGCGGATAAGGGGAACGGATGTTGTCTCCAGGGCAGCCCCCACCTTCTTTCTCTGTCCTCTCTTGCGTATAGGACCCCTTCCCCAACCACAGACTCCCATGCTACGCCAACGCCCCCCTGCTTCTCAACCACTCTCCAGGGCCCCTAAACTCTGGATCAGGCCAGTACCCCAGTCTTACTGTCTGAAGTTGCTTGCTTGAGCTCAAAAGTCCTCTGAATCTGGCCCAGTACTAATACGTCTGGTTTGTTGGAAATATAAAATATGCTTTAAATTGAATCTCACATGTTGGTTATACAGGTGTGCTCAGTTTGTGAAAATTCTGCAAGCTGAATATTTTAGGTACACGCGCTTCTATACTCGAATAAAAAGTTAAAAAAAAAAATTAACACATTAAAATCAACATTCCAGGACAGAACACGACAGGGTGTGATGGGCAGGGGGTGAATCTCGGCATGGGACACCAGTTCAGATCCCAGCTCCACCATCCACGTGTTTCCTTGGGGAAGTCCCTGCACCTCTCTGCGCCTCAGGAGGGATGACTACTGGGGCCTTCAGTATGGAACCCAATCATCTCATTGTTTTCCAGGGCCAGGACCAGTGTGAGGGAAGTGAGGCACTCGCCTGGGGTGCAACATTTAGGAGGGTACCAAGATAAGTAACGTTTTAATCCAGTATTTAAAAAAACAAAATCAGCGAATTATAGCCCTGCCAGCCAACTGCCTATTTTTATAAATAAAGTTCACTTGGAACCAGGGCTGGGATTAGGGTGAAGTGAGTGAGATAGGATGGTGCAAGTTCAGGGTTAGATCCTGGCTTTATTTAAAATGTTGGCATTTTGTTCATCATGAATTTTTTTATATTAATTTTGATTATTAGATATATGGTAGGAAAATATTGGTTATCACAACTATTGACTTTTTGGTGCCCTCTTCAGTTTTGCACCTGAGCCAAATGCCTCACTCACTCTAGCCTTACACACCTGACACCTCACCCTGGTCCCTGGCCTATTACCATCTCTTTCTGAAGGACCTAGCTAGGACCCCAGGGTAAATGTGAGCAGAGGTCAAAGATGCTACAGACACACACACACACACACACACACACACACACACAAACACCAGGTGGGCTCTGCACTCAAGCCCAGGCCTCGCTTTCCTGGGGCCCACTGATCAGTTCAGAGTAAAATGCAAAGTCCTTACAATGGCCTTCAGGCTCCCTTAGCTGGGCACTACTACCTACCTTGGCCTTCGTCTCCTCTCACTCATTCCTTTCCAGCCTTGCTGCTTCCTGAGTTTGTTTTTTCAACTTGCCTCATATGCTTGCCTCAGGGCCTTTGCACTCGCTCTTCCCTTTGCCCAGAATGTGCTTCCTCTAGATATTCACATGGCCCCCTTCCTTGTTTCCTCTGCTTATGTCACCTTCTCAGAGAGGCCATCCCAGACCCCTTACTCTCTGTCACCTCACATCACTTTATGATTCTTCATAGACATTTCCCCACTTTTCCTATTATATATTTGCTTGTTTGTTGGTGGCATGAAAGCTCCAGGAGAAAATGGACTCTGCCTTGTCCGCTAGTGTGTTTCCTAGAATTGTGTCTCCACAGAGAGCTCAATAAATACTTCCAGGTTCACAGGCGGGAAAACAAGAGGCCAGGGAGGGGAAGGGGCTAGTGCAAGTCACACAATGAGCTGGTGACAAAGTCTTACTAAATCCTAGGTCTCCAGACTCCCAACCTAGTGCTCTTTTTTCCCCCACCTTCTCCAGGGGCTTATTCTCACACCCCACCCCCAGAGCCCTCCAGGCAATGAAAGGTGACAGTGACCCTGCATGGCTTTCCAGGACAGTCCTTTCTACACGGTGCACTCACAAGGCCCGGCCCAGCTCCAGCCTCTGGTGTCCGCCCCTCCCTGGTGTCCAGCAGCACAGCTCTCTTCCCCAGCACGTACAGTTCTTCCCAGCTTCCTGTCTCTGGCATGCGGCCAGTCGGAGGCTGCGCTGGGTTCCACAGCTGGACCACAGCTGTGGTCTCTGCCATGCCCTGGAGAATGGGGGACAGGACACCGTAGTGCGACCCCTCACAGAGGGCTGTGTAGAAGGGGGTGTGTCTGTGTGTATGGGAACTTCCGGGGGGAACTTCCGGCTCCCCTCCCCGACTCCCTCCCTGATGGGCAGTGAGTGGGGATGGGACTCTAAGCCTCCTCCCTCCTGGAGAAATGGCATGTGATGGGGTGAGGGGAGCTCTGGGCCCTGGGCCTGATCCCATCCCTCTCTTCTCTCCTGGTATAGGAGGTGACAGTGGGGGGGTCACATTCTGTAAACATGAGTCGGGTATGTTCTGTATGCCAGCCCCTTGCTAGATATTTCTAGATTTGTTGCTTCCTTTAGTACCCACACAGTCTGGATAGTTATTATTCCCATTTTACAGATGAAGAAACTGAGGCACAGTGAGGCAAAGTGATTTGCCCATGGCCGCACACTAGTAGTGGGTGGAGCTGGGACTCCTGCCACATTTTCTGAGGTCAAGTGCATTGCTCATTCCAATCCCTGACACAGTCTTCAGCACAGGAGAGAACTGTGATAGTCTTCTTAATGTGTCGCCCAGCTCCAAACTGGCTGCTGAAGATGGAGACATGGCCCTCTGCACCCCTCCTCTGTCTCATTGGTAATTGGGGTACCAGGAGCTTGGCAGAGTAGAGTAGAAAGAGCGGGGCTTGGTTTGTTGTCATGGAGACCCAATCTTCGTCCTGGCTCGGTCATTCTACCTCGCTATGTGATTTTGGGCAAATCGTTTGAACTCTGTGAACCTCCAGTTCTGTGTAAACCTGGAAGGATAGTTCCCACCTCACAACTGGGGGGAAATTAAGTGAGCACCTGGTACAGCATCATTGGCTCTCAGTAAATGCTAACTCTCTCGCCCCACGGTTTCCTCCCCAGGCTCACCTAGCAGCAAGCGAGAGGAGCTTCCCAGGGCAACGTGTCCATTGTTCTGAGTCCTATTTACAAATCCTGACACAGTGCTTACTATGTGACAGGCACAGTTCCCGGCACTTCACATGAATTAACTGATTTAATATTCACAATATTAAATATCAATTAATATTAAATACCAATATTTCCCCCATTTCACAGATCAGGAAACCGCAGCACAGAGCCGTTAAGCAACTTGCTTTAGCCCCACAGCTCTCCGCAGGCTTCCCTCAGGCACCGTCTTCCCGGTCTTCCTGGGGGTGAGGGAGGAGGCTCCTGTCATCACTGGTCCTCTGCTCTCCTGTATGATCTCTTCCCCTTCATCCCTGTGGTAAGGTCACTAACTCTGAGCTGTTAATCATGTATAAATGCCCTCATGCAGTGGCCTCCAACTTTTTTTTTTTTTTTTTAGTAATTCAACTTTATAACTATTATAAATAAACCTGTTAAAATGTTCTGGACAGTGCCAGCATTTGGATTTTTTAAAAAAATAGACTTTATGTTTTAGAGCAGTTTTAAGTTCACAGCAAATTGAGCAGAAAGAATTCCCATATACCTCCCCACCCCGCACACCCTCCCCCACTATCAACATCCCCCACCGGAGTGCTCCATGTGTTAAAATCATTGACCCTACATTGACACCTCAGTATCACCCAAAGTCCATCGTTTACATTAGGGCTCACTCTTATACATTCCACGGATTTGGACAAATGTGTAATGACATGTATCCACCACTATAATATCATACAGAGTAGTTTCACTGCCCCAGAATTCTCTGCTCCACCTCTTCATCCCTCCCTCTCCCCTAACCCCGAGCAGCCACTGATCTGTTTTACTGTCTCCTAGTTTTGTCTTTTCAAGGATGTCATATAGTTGGAATCATAGTTTGTAGACCTTTCAGATCAGCTCCTTTCACTTAGTAAGATGTGTTTAGTGTTCTCCTTGTCTTTTCATGGCTTGATAGCTCATTTCCTTTTAGTCTTGAATGATATATCATTGTCTGGATGTACCCCAGTTTATTTATCCATTTTCCTATTGAAGGACATCTTGGTTGCTTCCAAGTTTTGGCAATTATGAATAAAGCTGTTATAAACATTTGTGTACAGGTTTTTGTGTGGACATAAGTTTTCAACTCATTTGGGTAAATACCAAGGAGTGTGATGGCTGGGTTGTATGGTAAGAGTATGTTTAGTTTTGTAAGAAACTGCAAAATTATCTTCCAAAGAAGCTGTACCGTTTGCTATTCCCACAGCAATGCATGAGAGTTCCTGTGGCTCCACAGCCTCACCAGCATTTGGTGGTGTCAGTGTTTTGGATTTTCGCCATTCTGATAGGTGTTGGGTATAGGTGTGTAACAGATGTGTGATGGTATCTCATGGCTGCTTTAATTTGCATTTCCCTAATGACATACGATGTGAAGCGTCTTTTCATTTGCTTGTTT